TCAACCAAAAATACCAGGGGTAGTTGTTTTCTTTTTAATAGAGTTTAAGACTTCAGCACATTACTGTTGACACTGTCTCTAATGTCTTTGTGACTCTCAGACAACCCCAACCAACTTCACTATCACTTTATTTTTTAGTACAAAATCAGTGAATTTTATGTGATTTTGTGCTTTCTCTTCCACCACTCTGGGCTTTCTCTATCCTTAGAAACATTGGCAGGAACTTGGAGAGTCATCCCTGGGTGCGTCCCACTCATGCGGATGAGCCTCAGTGGACTTGGTCCTACTCCTTTGGACCATGACCCATCAAAGTCCTGGCCGTGGCAGGCAAAGCTGAGCTGAGGGCTCTCTGTGAGGCCTACATGGGCAAAACCAGCTGCTCCCAACACTCCCTAAGTGATCTGTTTGGGTATTCATTCTGTTTTTAATGAAGAATGAGTTTGTTCAACAATGGCTGAGCTTGCCGACCAAGGATAATTACCTTTCAGACTTTGTCTGATAATGTTTTTTCCTGCTTTTGCTTTGGCACACAGTTTTCAACACTTTGTATTAATTTTTATTTGTTTTGGTCACATAACAACTTGTGCAACTGAATTCATATTTTTGTCTTGTGTATTAATCTATTTCATTATTGTATTTAATAATGCACTTACACCTATTTTTCATAAAACCTTTTCAATTATTTTCATCTTTTCAGTCATGAAATTTTCCTAAATAGAACAGGAATATGACTTTTATTAGGAAAAGTAGGTGCTACGCACCCTTTTTTAGTGTTTTCCAGGAATTTCCACTGAAGTACCTCTGAGAACAGAGACTTTTCTCACAGCCACAAGACAAAATTTGTTCAGAATTAAGTGCTGAAAAAGGAGCTATGATTGTTTTCATTGTATGGCTTAGTTTGTTTTAATTGTGAAAGATGCACAAGGCATTAGTTTATACAGGCAGAACACTGAGTCTTCCATTCTGAATGCAGAGAACAGCCACTTTGTCACTAAGCAAGCATAAATATCATACTGTTACTCCTTATCCAAAAGCTATAGACATGGCTGAAGTCTTTGATTCCTTCTAACTTGTTGTAAATGTATGCAAGTAATTTCCCTGTACATATGTACCATAATATAAATATCTATAGTTTTCTTGCAGTTCAGTGAGTCATTACTAGAACTGTTTACAGTTTTTAGTAAAATAATAAATGCAACTCAGAAAATCTGTACATATATCTCCAGGAAGCACAAATACTTGTAGAAAGGGAATTGTCATCTTACTTATTTTTTTGTTATCTCCTACCAAAATATTTTTAAAGGTTTTCATGCTTATGAGTTTTTTAGATTTTTGTTTGCCAAAGTGCTGGGATGACAGGCATGAGTCACTGCACCCCGTCAAATGGACACTCCTTAGAGATGAAGAAAATTATGCACATAAGTAGGCTTAACCACCACATGTGGACCTACCCCTTTTTCCTATGGTATTTTGCATATGTGAGTGATAGATTTACTACATTATAGAATAATTCAAGTAGAAGGTTTTACTTTTAAGTGCAAATAACAATTATCATCAAGAGGAGAAACCAGTAAGGCTAATCACCTCTATTTGTTTCTCCAGAACACCTACAGTTTCCGTTAAATTTGGGAATCATCTTCTCTTTGCATTTCACAACATAATTCCACAGTCTATGTTGTTTGTATGGAGTACAGGGTTGCTCTTCATATACAGTGAAATTATGAATATGGTGTCAGGTTCTAATACAAAAATAGAGTGAAGATGAATGCTTGGTTTTTTTATTTAAGTTTTCTTTTTAACCAAAATCTGGCCTTGACATTATCTGGAAACATACAACATTGACTCCCAGAGCTCCTGACTGTAGACTTACCTGGTGAAACAAATGTGCATCTATTAATCAGAACTAAAACTACCTATGAAGTGTCAGTGTTCTTGGTCTGTGGGTGGCTAACATTTCGGGAATCTTTAACAAATCCCCTCCCCAATAGTTTCTAGACCATTAGATTGAGGATTTTTAAAAACCTGTATTTTAATTTTCAGAGTACATGTATACGTTTGTTCTATTGATAAACTGCATGTCACAGGTGTTTTGTGTACAGACTATTTTGTCACTCAGGTAAGAAGCATGCTACACGATCGGTAGTTTTTTGATCATCACCATCCTCCCATCCTCCACACTCAGGTAAGAACTCATGTCTGTTGTTTCTTCCTTTGTGCCTATCTTCACTCAGTATGTGGCTCCCACTTGTAAGTGAGAACGTGCAGTATTTGTTTCTCTTTCTGTGTTTCTCTGCTTGGGATAATGGCCTCTGGCTCCATCCATGTTGCTGCAAAGGACATTATCTCATTCTTTTTTTATGGCTGCATAGGACAATGTAATGCTAACCTAGCCCAATGAGAATTGATAGAATTTGGTCATAGGTGTTTAAAATGCGCCTCTATTTATTCTGTTAAATGGCCAAATGCATAAGAGTGTGACCCATGACCAGGGGTTCCTCTCACAGAAAACATGTTTATATTGGAAAACAACCTTGTGGCTCTGAACTGCATCTGGTTTACTCTTACTAAAATAGCCAGTCTCTAGGAAAGTCCTGACTTGAAAAGAAGTTCAGGTATATTATTCAGATGAGACATAGAGGAGTCAACTCAACAAAACACATGAAATAACAGATTTAGTGTATTACTTACAGATCCCAGAGAGAGCAGAGCAGAATGCCTCAGATGGCCAAAGGGAGAGCCATTCTGGACACATACTCACACAGCTGAGGGAGGGGCCTATAGTTGAGGCCTTTATTGGCGTCCAGTGTGCTATTCAAGCAACCTTCTTACAGGGAGTTCTAACTGTTGGGTTTACAGGAAGCAAGCATGAATCCCATAGAGCCACACTGACAAAAAGGTGGTCACTGCGGCATATTTGCACAGCCCACATGAGGTATGGATGGTCAGGGGGCAACGTCAGATGCTTCATCTAGCTATCTCATAAGGAGGGGTTGTATAAAGTAGATATCTGGAAAAACTGCATAGAGAAAGTGGGAGGGATTGGAGAACTGGAAAATGTGTTGAAGGTGTTAAGTCCTGCTTCTGGTATGACCAAGATAAACATAATTCAAAATAGATGCTGAGGCAACACAAAACTATAACATTAAAAAATTAAAATCATAAAGTAGAACTTACAATAGTACTCTGTTAATTTCACATATATTATAGCTAGGTAGAAGGTAATTGAAGTGGGCTAATTTATATAAAACTATGTTTGAAAAAGTCTTCTTGAGCCAGGCGCGGTGGCTCACGCCTGTAATCCCAGCACTTTGGGAGGCCTAGGTGGGCAGATCAGACCAGCCTGACCAACATGGTGAAACCCTGTCTCTGCTAAAAATACAAAAATCAGCCAGGCGTGGTGGTGTGTGCCTGTAATCCCAGCTACTCGGGAGGCTGAGGCAGGAGAATAATTTGAACTGGAAGGCGGAGGTTGCAATGAGCCTGAGCCAAGATCATGTCACTGCACTCCAGCCTGGGCAACAATAGTGAAATTTCATCTCAAAAAAAAAAAAAAAAGAAGAAGAAGAAGAAGAGAAAAGAAAAAGAAAAAGTCTTCTTGACTAGGCATGGTGACTCATGCCTATAATCGCAGCAATTTGGAAAGCTGAGGTGGGAGGATTGTCAGGAGTTCAAGACTAGCCTGGGCAACACAGCGAGACCCCAACTCTACAAAAACAAATTTTTTTTCAAAGTGACCAGGCACGGTAGCACATGCCTGTAGTCCCAGCTATTCAGGAAGCTAAAGCAAAAGGATCCCTTGAGACCAGGAATTGGAAGTTGCTATGAGATATGATCACACCACTACATTCCAGCCAAGGCAATACAGCAAGACCCTATCTCTTTAATAATAATAATAATAATAGACCAGAATTCAGCAGACAAGTCACTATGATATCACATTGGGAAATGAGCAATCACAGAAAAAATATAATGTGTTCCATTATTGCTAGAGGACATATTTTCATGTCTTTCAAACACATATGTACTATAGTTTAGATCTTTGGCCCCCCAAACTTCCTGTTACAAATTGATCCCCAATGTTAGAAGTGGGGCTTGATAGGAGGTGCTTGAATTTTGGGGGAAATCCCTCAATAATGGCTTGGTGGTGTTCTCATGGTAATGAGTACTCACTCTGCTAATTTCGAGGAGAGCTGGTTGTTGAAAAGAGCCCAGCATTTGCCCCTCTCTTGCTTCCTCTCTCACCGTGTGATCTCTGCACACACAAGCTCCCCTTTTCTTTCTGTCATGAGTAGAATCAGCTTGAGAACCCAGTCAGAAGGAAGTGTTGGTGCCATGCTTCCTGTACAGTGCATAGAACTGTAAGCTAAACAAACTTCTTTTCATTATAAATTACCCAGACTCAAGTATTCCTTCCTAGTGATACAAAGGAACTAAGACAAAATGCATCTTAAAATTGATAGTGTCAAAAGGCTATTGGTCAAAATACAGACTTTTTGTGGTTGTCCTTATATGAATGCACATGAACCTGTCCTGGAAACCTTCCATTGACACCTTCTTTTAATATCATCAACACAAAACTTGCAGAGGAGCTGTCAGTCGGTTGGAAAGATAATCTCACAGAGTGTTGCATAGGAATGTCACAAGAAATGAAATATCACCAAAGCTTCTGGTTAACACAGAAGATGATAATGAGGGGAAAATCATAAAGAAGATGAATAGTGACTCCGAAGAGGTGCACCTGAATGAGAGAAATTTAGCAATACCTTTCTTTTTCTTTTCTTTTTTTTTTTTTTTCTTTTTGAGACAGAGTCTTGCTCTGTTGCCCAAGCTGGAGTGCAGTGGCGTGATCTCGGCCCACTGCAACTTCTGCCTCTCGGGGTCAAGCAATTCTCCTGCCTCAACCTCCCAAGTAGCTGGGATTACAGGCACAGGCCATGACACTCGGCTAATTTTTGTATTTTTAGTAGAGATGGGGTTTCACCATGTTGGCCAAGCTGGTCTCAAACTCCTGACCTCAAGTAAACCTCCCAAAGTGCTGGAATTACAGGCATGAGCCACCACCCCGAGCAGCAATACCTTTCTTAATGTGATTTGCTTATATTTGCATCTCATTGAATAGGAGTGATATAAAACAAATATCCACATTTATATATATTGAAAAGAGTTATTGTCATTAATTGTGAGGTAAAAATTATAAGGCATAGGAAGTATTTGTACCATATCTTGTCAATTTTATTCCTTTACTGTGGCGTAAAATAATGATGTATTTTGCAATTGATACAAAAAATGCATTTAAATTACTTAGAAAACACTGTCAGTGTTGGCATACTGATGTTGTGATTACTATAGACCTGATATTTATCTACAGGCATTATGTATCATTAGTTCATTCATTCCTCCCAAAATATCAAAAGGTAGGTTCTGCTACCACTCCTATGTACAAGTTCTGAATTTGAGCTAAAGCCCTGCAAAAAAAGGAAGAGAATATGCTCTAATCTGTCTCCACAGTCCTTGCTCCCATAAACTATGTTATAAAATGTTTTTCTGTTAAATTGTGACTACATTGTAGGTCTAATTTAGTAAATCTTATGCTAGCCCATAGTCATGAAGATATTTTCCTAACATAGGTTGTAAATACTATATTAAACTGTATTTGTATTTGGATCTATGATGCACCTGCAATTAATTTTATGTGTAATGTGAAGTTAAAGGTACATTTAACTTCCTTCAGTGAATATCAATTTCCTGGAACATTGATTGTAAAAGCCATCTTTCTACTAATAATTGCTCTTATTACTTATTTGCATTTATATTATTTTGTCTGTTTTGAGCTTTCCTTTATTTCATTGGTTCACCTTTCTATCTGTGCAAACATTACATTGTCTTAATTACTAAGAGTCTTCATTTAATCCAAGAATTTTCCATCCACAGCCCTTTAGCCTATCTATTGTCGTGTTCTAAAAAGAAGAAAGAGGCGAGTAAATCCTGGATGCCTTGCTCCTACACCAATATTTCCAGCTGTACCTTGAAATAAAAGGATTTAGAACTTGAGAACATTGCTGTTGTTGCTTATGTCTCTAATGTTCTCAAGAATCTTAGACAATCCCTGAACACTGCGCCCCACTTTATTTGTTTAGTACAGTCCCAGTGAAATAAATTAGATGTCAAGGCTCCTCATTATGTTTGCCTGGTTTTTGGAACCTGGGAGACTTTGTACTCCTCCAGCAACAGCCAGAGGTGGCAGAGACCTGTCAGTCATTCCCTGGGTGCCTCCTGCGCAAGCGCAGTTGTCCTCCTGCTGCCGACCACGAATGCGGTGCTCCTGCTGCAGACCACGCCTACCAAGGGTCGGCCTCAGCCACTGCAGCTGAGCTCAGAGCCTTCTGTGGGGTTTGCGGGGGGCAAGGTCAGCTGCCCACTGCCCTCCCTCTGGGGCTATTTGAGGAATGCGGTCCTTTTGCATAAGAAAGGCTTTTCTCTGCAATAATTGTGTTCGCTGATCAATGACACCTTCCTGGTAACATTTCGTATTGCTTCTTTGAAAGTGGGGGTGCAGATATCTTTAAAACTTGCATGCAATTGTCTTTTTTTTTTAATCACATAAACATCATTTAAAACCAATTCATACTTTGTATTGTGTATTAATGCCTTTCATTCCTGAATTTTAAAATTTTATCATAATCATTTTTTGAAATTCACATAATTGTTTTCATCTTTTCAATCATCTTTCTTTAGTAATTAAATGAAAATAGCACTTTTATTAGGAACGATAGATGTTATATATTCTCTGTTTTAGTGTTTTCCGGAAATTTGCTATGAAATACGACTGTTGAAAAAGAGAGGGACAGAGACTTTCCTGGGAGCCACAGTACAAAATGTACTTACAATTGTAGGCTTAGAGAAGCTATGATAGTTTAAATTACGTGGCTTAGCTGGTTCTTATTGTGGAAGGTGCACAAGGAATTAATTTGTGTAGACAGAACACTGAGACTCCCATTTTGAATGCAGAGACAGCTACTTTGCTACTGTGCAAATGAGCGTCATCATATTGTTTGTTTTTCTCCTTACCCAAAAGCTATAGACATTGGCTTGCATATTTGAGTATTTTCACTTTGGTTTTGTAAATGGCTGCTTGACTTGCCTTCCTACAAAAAATCCATAATATCGAGATGTATTATTTTCTTACTCCTTGATGAGTGAGTGATTAGTTTGCACTGAAATAAAAATGCCATTCAGGAAATGTCATACATCTTCAAGCAGCATATATTTTAATAGTATCGTCTTATAGAAAGGGAATTACAATCTTTATTTCTTCGATATCAATGAACAAACTATTTTTTTAATTTTAATATGGTCATTTTTATTGACTCAGTCAATAGTTTGCCCACTTTTTAGTTTTTACCTCCTCCATTAATGTCCATTGTTTTAGGCTGAACCTTTGACACTCCTCATATATCGTTTGTATGTGACTAGATGGCAAGTAAAGAGAGGATTCCTCACCCTAGGTTAAACACTGACTTCCTCTTGAAGAAACAACTGAGGGGTCCAAAAAGCAGGCTAGGAATTGTTTAGGTTCTGCAATATGAATTGTGCAAATGCCAACAGGATTGAATTGAGAGAAACACATTCTCTAATGAAGGACGCATTCCTGCAGGGTGGATCTATGAGACTCAATAGCAAATGGCTGTTATACAAGTAATGAAATCCTCAATTTTACGGTCTAAAAGCGATTCTGGAGGGCACTTATTTAAGACACATGAGATGTGAAAAAGCAATGGACCAAGAGCATTGATAGTTTATGGATATTTTTATTCCAAATTATTGATAGAGCTTTGTGTGCCAGGCAGTGCTGCAGTCAGGCACTCGGGGTTTCAATACACTATACAGAACATTTTAAGGGCAGATCTTGGTTAATTTTTTAAAGTAACCCTCATCTTCATTCTTTTATTGTATTATGACCTCACGCCATTAACCTTAAATTTCACCACAGATTTAGAAGAACCTAATAGTCAATGAAACCAGACAGATAATGGTATTTATGTAATGAAGGACAAGGGAAAGATGATTCCCAAATCTGAAGGAAACTAGAAGTTTTCTGGGGAAACAAATAGAGGAGATAAGATTTACTAGTTTCTTCTTCATTGATAAGAGTTGTGTTCTGTTCTGATAAATGAAAAGCTCCATGGAAATTACAGATGCTCCTCAACTTAAGTTGGGGCTACTTCCCAATAAACCCAACATAAATTGAAAACATCACCAGTCAAAAATGTGGTTAACATGCCTACCTTACTGAGCATCATACCTTAGTCTAGCCTGTCTTAAGAGTGCTTAGAACGCTTATATTTGCCTACATTTGTACAAAATAATCTAACAGAAACCATATTTTATAATAAAGTCTTAAATATCTCATGTAATTTATTGAATACTGCAATGAAAATGAAAAACTGAATGGTTGTATGGGTACTCGAAGTACAATTTCTACTGAATGTGTATTGCTTTCTCACAATTATAAAGTTGAGAAATCTAAGTCATACCTCAGGGAGTGCCTTTATTGCACAATACAGGTTTATCGGACACATATACCAACAAATCATAGGAAATTCAGGTTTGGGTCAAGGGGGAATGGTTCAACCTACTTATACACACTTCCTTCCTCTCTATTAGGCTGCCTTTATCCTTGGGATTGTTGCAAGATGGCTGTGTCATGTAAAGGGCTGTGTCTTTTAGCATCACGAATGAGATAAAAGAGTTGAAGGCCAACTTCATTCAAATGTCTTCTCCATGTATCTTTCCCTTTTTCTCCTGCACTGCTACTGTAGTTCTGTGATCCATGTCTCTGTAGAAAATGGCTGGCATAAGTCAAACCTTTCTGACTGGGCGCTGTCATGATTACTTTCTCCCGCTGTTAACACTGTACTTGGAGGTCTTGATGGAATTGGGCAAACTTGTTCTTTCAGACCCTCAGTTTCATCTCAACACAGAACGCTCCAAAAGTCCTTGCTACTCCACAGCAGGGAACTCTCTTGAAGCAATAACATGAGGAAATAGTGGGCTTGCATGGCTGCCTCACATGCCTCAGGTATCATTATGCTCATTGCCTGATGTACTGTGTCTTGCCAACCATTGTTCCACATAATTTACCCATTCTTGGTTTTTACGTTGGTTAAAGCATGTACAAACCCTATTCGTTTTTCTACAGCATTTGGATTCATACCTTCTGAAATTACTTGACGATTACTGTGCCTCTGGTTGTTTGCTTCTAGTTGGCAATACAAAGAAACAATGTGAATGAAACTCATAAAGAAAAACCTATGATTGAATGGGCGTGTGTAACACTAGAGGGAAGGTCAGAGCTGGTCTATGCATGGGTATAGGTAGGAGTCTCAGTGGGTGTCAGCCACTGCGTGTCAACAAATCAAATATTTAAGGTGGATCTAAAAGAAAGGTAATATCTCTGCCAATTAAACTACAGTCATGCATTGATTAATGCCAGGTACAGTCTAAGAAGTGCATTTTTAGACGATTTTGTCATTATAAGAACAGTGTAGAGAGTACTTACACAAACTTAGATGGTAAGTTTAAGTTTATGCCTACTATATGACTAGGCTATATGGTAAAGCGTGTTGCTTCTAGGCTACAAAACTTTACTGAACATTAAGCAATGATAACACTATGGCAAATATATATGTGTATGTATGCGTATATATAAATACTGTATGTGTATATATATGGTATGTCTATATATGTATATATATGGTATGTGTATATATACACACATGTACACACACATACATATATACATATACTATAATAAAAATATGATATAAAACATTTTTTTAACTGTTACTGCTGTTTAAAGCAGATATCATGAGTGGATTTTGCAGGACTGGAAGTTCCTCCAGGCGAGTAAGTGGGTGAGTTGTGAGTGAAGGTGAAGGTCTAGGACATTGCTGTACACTACTGTAGACTTAAGAAACACTGTAGGCTTAGGCTATACTAAATTTATTTTTAAAACCTGAAGTAGGCTAGGCACAGTAGCTCACATCTATAATCCCAGCACTTTGAGTGGTCGAGGCAGGCGGATCATGAGGTCAGGAGTTTGAGACCAACCTAACCAATATGGTGAAACGCTGTTTCTACTAAAAATACAAAAATTAGCTGGGCATGATGGTGCACACCTGTAATCTCAGCTACTCAGGAGGCTGAGGCAGGAGAATCACTTGAACCCAGGAGGCAGAAGTTGCAGTGAGCCGAGATTGCGCCACTGTACTCCAGCCTGGGCAACAAAGTGAGACTCCATCTCAAAAATAAAATAAATTAATAAATTAATTATTTTTTAAAACTTGAAGTAATAATGACATTATGATTGCTACAATGTCAAAAGATAAGAGAAAATTTCAACTCCATTGCAATCTTATGGGACCAACAACATGTATATGGTCTGTTGTTGACCAAAACGGCCCTTATGTGGTACATGACTCTATACACATAACAGCCCATTTTATATTTATGGAAAAAGCCCTTCTAGAATTATAAAATCACAAGTTTTACTCACATAAAAATTAACACAATACTGAGATTAACTCATAAATGAAATTACAAAAATCTTAAAATTTTGATTATAATAGTTCGAAACAAGATTTTAATCCAGAGAAATGGGTGTCTTCACATAACCCTCTGTGGCATAAAGGGTAATGGCAATGAAACATTTCTTAATAAAAGAGGCTGCATGATTGTCAGTGTGATTTGCACCTTCCTGTTGACATCCATTCTGTAAGTATTGAGTGCAGGTGATCTTACCTGAAGGTGACAACAGAAGATTTCACTACAAGATCATGCATGTGCCCTCAATAACACCATGTCATTGATGCCACCAGGGTAACAGCTATTGTGATAAAATTTGAAAAATAAACATACGCTAAAAATTTAGAAAGATAGTAAGTAATAAGCATTTGATTTATTGAGCCCAGGAATTGGAGGCTGCTATGCTCTGTGACCACAACTATGAATACCCATTGCACTGCAGCCTGAGAAATATGGCTAGGCTCCATCTCTAAAAAAGTAAATAACTAAGTAAGTGTTTGAAAATATTTAGCAAGGGAGCCATACTAATGTAGCTGAACTTTGGAAATCAAGAAAAAAATTGTTGGTTTAAAAGGGCAAAACTGTCCGGATAGAAAGAACAGCCGCAGATGAGGATAGAGCAGTGTGGCCCGGGAGAGGGGCTAAGCAGTGGACTAGGGATGGGGAGGCTGGAGAAGAGGCTGAGGGGAGTCACATCTTGTCCTGAGATGAAAAGGGGGAAAAAAAAACATGTTCATCTTCAAGCGCATACTCTCTTCAGATTAAAAGAAAGTTTTTAGTTTCTTGGGAAGAAGACAAGAATATAGATGAGGGGTTTGAGAGATTCATTAATTTCTTTGTGAAATTCAACATAAAGGAAGATATTCTGTGTTGCTCTTTGTTCACTATATGTGTGGAGCTCACAGGGAAGCAACATAGACAAAGTTTCCAAATTCTCAGATGTTAAAGGCCACTGGGGATTCAGAAAACTCAACAGAAACTAAACTGCAAGTGGAAGAGCTGCCCTTGGGAACTCAGGGGACAAGTTTCAGGCCTGGACTGGGATAGGCAAGGGAGGCCTCGAGGAGGAGGAGCGTTGGAGGAGATGCTGGAGAGTGAGGACCAGTGAGTCCAGCAAACAGGGCAGGGAAAAGGAAGAGGAAACAGTGTGTCCATGGCACAGGCCAGGGCATGAGAGGAGGGTGGTGGGTTGGAAGGACCACTGGGATAATACATGATGAGGCAGGAGCTGGAAGGGCAGACTATGGAGGGACTGGGCATGGGGGTGAGGGTACCAGGCAGCTCAGAAAGTGACGCAGGGGCCCCTCTCTGAGGACTGCATTCTGTGGGGAGGGATTTGAATGCCTCAGTTCTTTTATGAAATGTTATCCCCAATCCATGAGGTCTTTTGATTCAGGAACCAGTCAGAACAGGTGAGGGTGGCCGCAGTCCACTGTGCAGGACCATTAGCATTGCCAGGAGGGGTTGGTGCTGAGGACAAAAGAGAGTGAAACGGGGCAAAGAGCTGTCTTTCCCATTCGTCATTTTGCAGATGTAAGTGGGATCCGTGGATCTGAAAATTCACAGTGGCCCACTCACCACCACCTGATGAAGAATACACCACAGGGTGAGAGCATCCTAACAGCAAACTGCAAATGAAGTGGGTTTGCAGCTGCACAGAGAAGGGACCCCAGGTAAGCTACATGGGCAAGGTGGGCAGGGGACTCTAGAGGTGGTAGCAGTGGGTCTTTATGCAGTTATTCTCTGAAGGCATACACATGTTTGTCAATGTATATGCATGACCCCTTACATGTTGATGTTCACATACAAACCTCACAATTTTCTCATGTTTCTCAGACCATAGCATGTTGTCTTGACTTTATTCTTTCTACCACATGTAACCATGCCTTGTATACCTAGCAATACTTAACGTTTATTTTTGGTGGATTATTCATAGTTAATGCATTTCCTGACTTAGTAGCCAAATGAAATTGCCTTGCTTTGCATGCCTTTGGTTGATCATTTCTGAAGATTTGTGTCCCTGAATTCATTGGGAGTCTCCTCTCCATGTTCTTAAGCGAGGGTCCTGTTGGGACTGTTACATTATCCTACTTAACTTTGGACTCGTATGTCCTGGAAAATATGAAACTATCAATATTCACTTGAAAATTCCAGGTGCTTTATCTTTTACTTTGTTTTTGCCATGTTTCCAATATTATATATTTTCTCCCACTTACTTTGGATTTAATTTCTCTGCTTCCTTTTACAGTATAAATTTAGATGTTTGAATTTTAGATTTCAACTTTTGTAATATCTACACACTCAATGCTGTAATTTTCCTCTAAGCTTCCTTGTTGTAGCCAGTAAATTTTGATAAGGTGTGTTTTCCTTTAAATTTAGTACAACATTTTAAAAATTTTTTCTCGTGAGATTTCTTTGACCCATGTGTTATTTGGAAATGAATTATTTACTCTCCATGTATTTTGCAATTCACCAGTTTTTAAAAATTGATTTCTAGCTTAATTCTGTTGTGGTTTGAGTGCATGCATTGTATAATTTTGATTCTTTTAAATGGTTTCAGGTGTGTTTTATTGAGGATGATGTGGTGCATCTTGACGAGTGGTCTTTGTGGATTTGAGTTCAATGTGTGTTCTGCCCGTTGTTGGATAAAGAAGTCTGTAGATGTCAATTTTATCCAATTGATTGATGATATTGTTGAGTTCAACTATGTCTTTACTGCTTTTTCTTCTTGGTGGACCTGTCTATTTCTGACAGAGGAGTGTTGAAAGTCTCTAACTATAATAGTGGACTCATCTATTTCTTCTTGTGGTTTAAACAGTTTCTGCCTCACGTAGATTGATGCTCTCTTGCTCTGTTGTTACATGCATACATATTAAGGACCATTATATTTTCTTGGAAAATTGATCCCTTTATTATCACATAAGGTCTTTATCCCTGACAATTTTCCTTTATTTACATTACATTCTTTCTGAAGCTAATAAAGCTATGCCTGCTTTCTTCTGGGTACTGTTAGCAAGGTACATTTCCTTTCATTCATTTACTTTTATATGTCTTTTATGAATTGAGAAATAAAATTTGGGGTATTTACTATGCAAAATCCTCACATCACCTTCAAACATGATGTTTAAAGAATAATATATATTGTGAAGTGATAAATTCTTGCTAAGAACATACGTGTTACCTCACACAGTTATTTTTTGTGGCAAGAACACTTTACATCCACTCTTTCTTCATTTTTCATAATGCAATTTATTGTTAACTATACTTACCATGTTGTACGATACATCTCTTGGTCTTTTTCCTCCCATCTAACTGAAATTTTGTACCTATTCACAATCATCTACCCAACCTCATCCCCAACCACCCTTAGGCCCTAGTGCCCACTGTTCTACTTTGTCTTTATATAAATAAGCTTTTTTAGATTCCACTTACGCATGGGTTCATGGGGTATTTGTCTTTCTCTTCCTGGCTTATTTCACTGAATATATTGTCATGCAAATTTCATGCTGCCTCCAGTGACAGCATTTCTCCCTTTTTAAGGCTGATAATATCCTGTTTGCATATACACTACATTCTTTTTATCCATTCATCTGTTGATGGGCACTTAGGTGGATCCCACACTTGGCTATTGTGACTAATTCTGGAATGAATGTGGGAGTGCGGATACCTATCCAACACACTGGATAGTCATGAAATCTCCCGAGGCAGATTTTATTACCCTTGGATATATACCCAGTAATAACACTGCTGGATCAAAGGGTAATCCTATTGTTATTTTTTTAGGATCCTTCACACTTTTTTTCATAGTTACTATATTGTACTAATTTACATTCCCACCAACAGTATGCAAGTGTTCCCTTTTCTCCCCATCAACACTTACTAACTTTTGTCTTTTAAAATAGCCATTCTAACAAGTGTGAGATGATATCTCATTGATTTTAATTTGCAATTGTCTATGTATGTCTTCATATTTACAGAGATTTCCAATATACAAGATATAATTGGGTCTTTTTTTAGATCTACTCTGGCAATGTGTCTTTAATTGGTGCATTTCAACCATTGCTACTCAAAGTGATTACTGACATGGTTGTGAGAGGCGAGGCCAGCTGGACTTCCTGTGTCAAGTGGGGACTTGGGGAACTTTCCTGTCTTACAAGAGGATTGTAAAACACACGAATCAGTGCTCTGTAAAATGCAACAATCAGTGCTCTGTAAAATGCACCAATCAGTGCTCTGTAAAATGCACCAATCAGTGCTCTGTAAAATGCACCAATCAGCGTTCTGTAAAACGCACCAATCAGCAGGATTCTAAAAGTAGCCATTCGAGGGGAGGATTGAAAAAAGGGCACTCTGATAGGACAGAAATGGAACATGGGTGGGGACAAAAGGAAATAAAAGCTGGGCACGCCAGACAGCAGTCGCAACCCACTGGGGTTCCTGCACAGGGCATGAAAGATTTGTCCTTTTGCTCTTCACAATAAGCCTTGCTACCGGCCGCTCTTTGGGTCCATGCCATCTTGGACTAAGAGTCCAAGGTCAGTTCAACCTGGTGGAGAAAGCTGGCAGTTAGATGAAAAATATACGCAGACTTGCTGCAGGTGTACAGATAACAAAGGTAGCAACTCAAAAGATGATGAAAACAGAGTAGAAATGATGAGAATGATGCCTGGAGCTTGGTTCCGGGCTTTGCTGTGGTGTTAGGTGGTCACAGAGCAGCTTATTGAGAGCTTATGTCCGTGCCTCCTGCTAACAGTAGATACTTGATTAGGATGTGAACAGAATGTTTACCTGGTTTTTACTTATAGCACTTTGATTACTAGTATTAGAATCTAAGCCCTTTGGAGACAGAAAATTCTTCGATTCTGTGTTTTCAGAGGCGAGGATAATTCGTCCGACCTCACTGGTGAGAATACGTAGGTGTTGAACTAATGCACGGATTAAACTGTAAGGGCAAAGAAAAAAGTTCCCCTTTGTCCTCTGAAGGTTCAGTGAAAAATCAACTGGCAAAAGGAAGATTAATAGAAGGAAAGGTATGTAAAATTTTATTTTAAATCACGTAGGGAGGGAACCACAAAAGAATGATGACCCAATGAGGTACACAAGTTTATATATCTGCTTGCATAGAGGAAGGAGGAGATGTGGAACGTAGACTTTTATTTTAAGAGGCAATAGACCGTCAAGGAGAATGAACAGACCCAGGAGGCAGGAAGCAGACATTAGGGGAAGGTGAGGTGCAGAGCTACACAGGAAGAGAGGTTATTGTTTAATGCAAATTAAGTCCTCCAGATAATCTCTTGGAGCTGACCTCAAAAGAATAGATGGTAAGTTTGTCTGGGCTGGTGAGGACTTCTAGCCTCTTGATCTTTCCTGGTTACTTGATGAGATCCCTGGGGAGGGTGTTCAAGAGCACTGCATTTATGTATTTATTTATTTTTGCTGATGGAATCTCACTCTGTCACCCAGGCTGGAGTGAAGCGGCGCGATGTCGGTTCACTGCAACCTCCACCTACCAGATTCAACCATTCCTCTTGCCTCAGTCTCCTGAGTAGCTGGGATTACAGGCACCTGCCATCACGCCCGGCTAATTTTTGTATTTTTAGTAGAGACGGGGGTTTCACCATGTTGGTCAGACTGGTCTCCAACTCCTGACCTCGGATCACTCGCCTTGGCCTGCCAAAGTGCTGGGATTACAGGCAGAGCCACCGTGCCCTGCCTGTAAATGCCCGGCCCATTGTATTTCTTTTTTTTTTTTTTTTTTTTGAG